CGTTGGACTTCGCCTTGGCCAGCCCGAGCTCCACCAGCCAGGTGTACCTCGCCAAGCGCCCACCGGGCAGAGGGCCCGCCCGAGGGGAGCGCCGCCCCGCAGCGCCTCAAAGGATGCGGTGGCGACGGAGTGGGGTGCGGAAGGACGCTGAGGATGTACCAAGACATGCCCGCCTTGCGGAAGCACTCACGACGCGAGATGTTTGGCCAGATTCGGCCCTCGGGGGCCTCGCTAGGCCGAAGAACCGTCGAAAGCAACTCGGGATGAAAAGCCAGCTCTGGGGAAAAGGCCTGGACTTCGCGGATCAGATATGGAACAAATCAAGACATCGGATGTCTGGGTGTGGGGGGGGGCTCAGGGTGGGTGGGCGAGGCGGGCTATCAGGCCTCTATCGGCGATGAATGGGCAGTTGGGGATCGATGCAATCCCCACTGAGCCTATCCACCCCTAACGCTGCCCCTGGTAACACTCTGATGGAGACGCACGACCGACACAAACATACAGCACAAACGTGTTGTAGCAGATCGTTCCCTCGCGGTATGGTCAGAAAACGCCCGCCACAGAGCTTACGCGACGAGATTTCTGAGAGTGCCTGCCGCCCCTTCGGGGCCGACGCGCTCATAGCAGGAGTATGTGAGCGATGCCGAGTTCGAGTTGAGGAGGAGGAGGAGGAGGAGGAGGAGGAGGAGGAGGAGGAGGAGGAGGAGGAGGAGGAGGAGGAGGAGGAGGGAGGAGGGAGGAGGAGGAGGAGGAGGAGGAGGAGGAGGAGGAGGAGGAGGAGGAGGAGGAGGAGGAGCGAGGAGGAGCGAGGAGGAGCCAAATCCCTGGACCCCATCTCTCTGCGGCATTGCTCGAGCCGGATCGAGAGAGAGGCCCAGGTCCCAGACTGGGGGAAGACCAGGCGGTGCGAACCAGACTCTCCGGGTTCTCCGCGGCGCGGAGGGCCGATTCCCCTCCTCATCTCGTCCTCCACCTCCTCGTTCCTCTCATCCCTCCCCCGTCATCCTCAACCATCCTCCTCCTCCTCATCATCATCCGTCCTCCTCTTCCTCCTCCTCCTCTCTGCCTCCTCCTCCTCCTCCTCCTCCTCTCCTTCCTCCTCCTCCTCCCTCCTCCTCCTCCTCCTCCTCCTCCTCCTCCTCCTCCTCCCTCCTCCTCTTCTCCCTCCTCCTCCTTCCTCCTCTTCCCCCTCCCCTTCGCCCCCCTGGCCGGCTCGCTCCTGCTCCGTCCTCTCCCGCTCCCGAGGCGGGGGGGAGCCGTGGCCCGCGAGCGCTCTCCACCGCTGGCCCCGTCCGACCCCCCAGGGGATCCCAGGGCAGCGCACGTGGACGCGTCCACATAGGGCGGCTGCTGCGTCATGGAGCCTGCCCGCCGCCCCGCCCGAGGTCTCATGGCAAGCATGGCCCCTCCTCCTCCACGTCCTCGTCCCCCTCCTCCCCCTCCTCTTCCCCGTCCTCCCGCCACTCCTCCTTCTCCCCGTCGTCCCCCTCCTGCTATTCCTTCTCCCCCGCCCCTCCCCCTCCTCACCCGCCTCCTCACCCACCTCCACATCCTCCTCCTCCTCCTCTACCTCCTCCTTCCTCCCTCTCCCTCCTGCTCCCGCTCCTCCTGCCCCTCCCCTCACCGCATCCTGCCGCCGCTGCCGCCGCCGCTGTCGGCCCTGCCGACGCCGCCGCTGCCGCCGCCGCCGCCTCCATCCGCAGGGATGCCCTCCGCCCCCCCTCCCCCTCCCCCCCCCCGCGCGACCGCACGAAGCCGCGCTGCGCCGACAGGCACGGGCTCCGTGCAGGGCGCGGCCGCCGAGGCCCCGCCAGAGGCCCCTCCCCGAGCGCCCGGAGGTGGGAGCCCTCTGCGGGCCGCGCTGCCCCTGCCGCTGCCGCTGCCGCTGCTATCCTCCGTGCCGCCTGCACCGTCGCCCCGCGTGCGGAGAGGGGTGCTCCGTGGTGGGTGCCCTCTGGTCGGTGAGCTATGTGGCTTGTACCGGATCGCCTGCACGCCGGGAGTGCAGTGACCTGCTGTCTGGGAGCCACGCGCTGGCCTCGCACCTTTGCTCTCTTCTGTCCGCCCTCGTGCTCACCTGCCCGCGCCCCGCCTCTCCCGCTCCAGGCGCCGTCCCCGCCCTGCCGCCCTCCCCCCCCCCGCTCGTCCATTTCGCTCCGCCGCCATCGCCCCCGCATCCCACCTTCTCTCGGCGATTTCGCTCGAGCCAGAGCGGCGGCCGCGAGCTCGAGAGGGCACGTGGGGGGGAGGGCAGACCAGGTGACGAGGCGAGCGACGAAGCGCTGACGGACGCGCCAGGGCGCGCTCCTTTCCGGGCATGGGGCGGAGGCGCTGAAGAACCCTGGGGGGGGAAGGAGCGGAGGGGGGGGGAGGGAGGGAGGGAGAGGGAGGGAAGAACGGAGGGGAGAAGGGGAGGAGGGGGAGAGAGGGAAGATCAGGGCGAGGGAGGGACGGAGGACGGAGGAAGGAGGGAGGGGAGATGAGGAAGAGACGGCGAGGGAGGACAGAGGGAGGAGGGAAGGTGAGAACAGGGAGGGAGGAAGGGATGAAGGGAGGGAGGGATGAAGAGGAGGAGGAGGAGGAGGAGGAGGAGGAGGAGGAACTATGTATATGTAAATGTACAGATATATATATATATATATATATGTAGATGTGTAAATAAATACACACATGCGTACATACACACATATGTCGGAGGTGAGGGGTGAGATCGAAAAGGATCAGAGAGCCCCAACTGGGAAATCGGTTTCGGTTTCGGGGTCGCGTCGTGAGTGCGGCTGCGTGGCAGGCGGGTACCCAGAGTGGCCCGCCGTAGTGTCCAGGTGGTGTTCCGTGGTGGGTGGATCGCGGGTGGGTCTCTGTTGGGTCGCGGGTGTAGAGGGCAGAAAATCCACCCCATAACGTAGCACCCCGCAGATGCGGACAAGAGTGAGGGGGCGGTGGGGACGTCGGCAGTTTGCGAGACTCGGGAGAAGCCCGCCGCAGGCGCCAAAGTTTCACAAATTATGCAACGAGCCCACCGCAGGCGCCGATTTTTTCGTGAAACCAATGTGGGTCGGTCGCGGGTGGGTCGCGGGTGGGTTGTAAATAGGTCGCGGGTGGGTCGCGGGTGGGTCGCGGGTGGGTCGCAGGTGGGTCGCGGGTGGGTCGCGGGTGTAGAGGGCAGAAAATTCACTCCATAATAGTCACCCCGACAAGCGAAGCCGTTTACTAAACGCAAACAAGGAATGAATCGAACAGGGCAGGGCTGTTTAGTAAACGCCCAGGGCCGTTTAGTAAACGTCAATTGTCAGGTCCAGGTGGTTTCTCCTCCCTTGAGGGTGGGTCGCGGGTGGGTCGCTGGGTGGGTCGCTGGGCGAGTCGCGGGGTGTGTCGCGCGGTGGGTCGCGGGTGGGTCGCGGGCGGGACGACGACAACAAACAACAACAACAACAACAACAACAACAACAACACCACCAACAACAACAACAACAGCAGCAGCAGCAACAACAACAACAACAACGCCACCAACAACAACAACAACACCACCAACAACAACAACAGCACCTCCACCACCACCAACGACAACAACAACAACAACAACAACCACAACCACAACCACAACAACAACACCAACACCACCACCAACAACAACAACAACACAACAACAACACCAACAACAACAACAACAACAACAGCAACAACAACAGCAGCAGCAGCAACAACAACACAACAACAGCACCACCAACAACAACAACAACTGCAACAACAGCACCAACAACAACAACAGCAGCAACAATCGCAACAACAACACTAACAACACCAACACCAACACCAACTACAACAACACCAACAACAACTCCACCACCGCCACCAACAACAACAATAACCACGACGACAACAACAGCAACAACAACAACAACACAACAACAACACAACAAGCAGAACTCTCACCACGAACTCCCTATTCAGCCACGCACCCAGGGACAATGAATGACCGTTCGGCCCCATTACTCTAATGTACGTATAAATTTACGTATGTAATCACAGATGTATGTATATATATATATATATATACATATAACGGCGCACCTGGTCCGGGGGCCCGGGGCCGGGACCTCGACCACAAATGTGGGCTCCGGGAGGCCCGGAGGCTCGTCGGGGCTTGCCGGAGGCCTCCCCGGTCAGACAAGACGGCCCCAGGAGCGCCCAAGACGGCCCAAGAAACTTCCAAGAGGTCTCCAAGAGGGCTCGGAGATGCTGAAGATGGCCTCCAGACGTCCAAGGACGCCCCCAAGAGGCCCCAAGAAGCCTCCAACATGCGTCCCAAGAGGGCCCCTAGACGCAACAATTGGCCCATTCCCTTCGTAAAACGTACATTTTCAACAAAGTTGTCTTTTGGGCTTTCCGACGTTACAGGACGGCCCAAGAGGCGCCCAAGACCGCCCCAAGACGGCCCAAGAAGCTTCCAAGAGGGCCCCAGGACAGCCCAAGAGGGCCCCAAGACGGCCCAAGAGGCGCCCAAGATGGCCCAAGAGGGCCCCAAGACGGGCCCAAGAGGGGGCCCAGAGGGGGACCACGAACCGCAAGCTCGAGCCTTCCGCCCCAAGAGGCCGCCAGGAGGCCCCCAGGAGGCCCCTCAAGAGGCCCCAGGAGACCCCAGACGTCCAAGGACGCCCCCAAGACGCCCCAAGAAGCCTCCAACATGCGTCCCAAGAGGGCCCCTAGACGCAAAAATTTGGCCCATTCCCTTCGTAAAACGTACATTTTCAACAAAGTCGCCTTTTGGGCTTTCCGACGTTACAGGACGGCCCAAGAGGCGCCCAAGACCGCCCCAAGACGGCCCAAGAAGCTTCCAAGAGGGCCCCAGGACAGCCCAAGAGGGCCCCAAGACGGCCCAAGAGGCGCCCAAGATGGCCCAAGAGGGCCCCAAGACGGGCCCAAGAGGGGGCCCAGAGGGGGACCACGAACCGCAAGCTCGAGCCTTCCGCCCCAAGAGGCCGCCAGGAGGCCCCCAGGAGGCCCCTCAAGAGGCCCCAGGAGACCCCAGACGTCCAAGGACGCCCCCAAGAGGCCCCAAGAAGCCTCCAACATGCGTCCCAAGAGGGCCCCTAGACGCAAAAATTGGCCCATTCCCTTCGTAAAACGTACATTTTCAACAAAGTTGTCTTTTGGGCTTTCCGACGTTACAGGACGGCCCAAGAGGCGCCCAAGACCGCCCCAAGACGGCCCAAGAAGCTTCCAAGAGGGCCCCAGGACAGCCCAAGAGGGCCCCAAGACGGCCCAAGAGGCGCCCAAGATGGCCCAAGAGGGCCCCAAGACGGGCCCAAGAGGGGGCCCAGAGGGGGACCACGAACCGCAAGCTCGAGCCTTCCGCCCCAAGAGGCCGCCAGGAGGCCCCCAGGAGGCCCCTCAAGAGGCCCCAGGAGACCCCAGACGTCCAAGGACGCCCCCACGACGCTTCGCGTCACCAATTTCTTCTCACAACGATTCCTGGGTCTGTGACTCGACAGAACCTAAGCGCGCGCGAAGCGCGCGCGTGGTTCTAGTATATATATATATATATATATATAATATTATATATATGCAAGTATAATTATAGATTCATCTATGTATAAGATTGTCCTGCCCCCATGTGCCTATGGCCGTAAGCGGAGGAGGCCGGCGCCAGCGAGACGAGCGGCCTGCTGGCAGCGGGCCCGGGGGGGACGAAGCGGAGCTGGAGCGGAGGGGCCGCCGCGCGATCCGAGCTTTTCCGCGCTGGTCGGGGGCGCCTCGAGCAGCGAGGCCCCCGAGCCCCGGCCGGCCTCGAAGGGCCGCTCGTGCAGTCATGCAGGGAGGCGAGCCGCCGGCCACGCGGCGAGGGCCGTGCGCCGGCGGGCCGCGCGGGTGGCGCAGAGGCACGTGCCGCTCCTGCGCGGCGCCCCTCCCGCACCACCCAGACCCCCCCGAGCCATGACAGAGTCACGACAGGCGCCTCCTGTTTTGTGGCCAGTCTCGGCCTCTTGGGGCCCTCGCCGGGCCTCTGGGCCGCCAGGAAACGACTCCGGATGAGAAGCCGGCCCTAGGGAAGGGGTCCAGACCCCTGAGGGCCGACGTGATGACAAACGATGACGTCGGGGCCCCGGCCTGCCGCCACCCCTCGCCATGTGGCCGATTCTGGAAAGCCCTGGACCCAAACATGTTGATGCCTGGCTCTTACTTCCACCGCCTTCTGCTGGCCTCCGCCAGCGGACCCTCCGCCGTTTTGCGCCGCCGCCTTCCGCTGGCCTTCCGCCGAGGAAGAAACATCAGCTCCTTCGATCCCTCGGGGCCCTTGCGCTCCAATGCAGCGAGAGGGCAGGCGGGCACAGCCGCCTCAGCGACGACATGAAACGGGCTTGCGGGGAAGACAGAGCGACCTTACGCCGCGGCTGACGCGGGCCCCCAGCGTGGCACACCGAGCGGAGAAGAAGGCGCACAAGCGCGACCTTACGCGCGGGATGCCTCCGCGCGCATGTCCGCGCAATCGACGCCGTTTTCTTCCGCCGCTAATCCAGGAGGCGGCCGGCGGGTCGGGACAAGAGGGGGGGGAGGCAAAATCCGCTCAAAACTGGCTCCCGGAGCCCTTCTGGGGTCCATCTGGTGCACCTTTTCGCCCCAGATCCGTTCCTGACGATCCTGGCACCCGAAAGCGGCTCCCGGAGGCCGAAAAGGGCCAAAAACCTCCACGAACCCAGACCCTCGAACCTCCTCACTCTGCTTACGTATTGGCCGGGGCCAGTGCTGGGCAACCCCAACACTCACCCGGCGCCCCGCCGCGCCGAGCCCTGTGGCCTGGATGGCGCTTCGCCTGCGGGCTCGCCGGCGGCGCGCAAGGCGGGGGCGGGGTGCGGGACGGGGGCTGTGGCTGCCGAGCCCTGGGCCCGCCGAACCCCGGGGGCGCTCCCGACGCATCCTGGGGAAGGGGGCCGAGAGGGGCTCATAGGAGGGGGGGAATGGGGGGACAGGACAAATTACCCTAGTGCGACCCTATGGAGCCCCTAGGAAAGCAGCATTAGTTGCTATGCTATACGCTATGCTATGCCATGCTATGCCATGCTATGCTGCGCTATGCTATGATGTGCTATGCTATGCTAGGCAATGCTATGCTATGCTGCGCTATGCCGTGCTATGCTAGGCTATGCTATGTTATGATATGTTATGCT